TGTGGTTTGGGCTTTGCTTCTGTGAAGATTGACAGCCTTGGAGACACTGTGGGGCAGTTCCACTCTGTCCTCTAGGGGCGCTGTGGGTCAGAATGGACTCCATGGCAGTGGGTGTGGTTTGGGCTTTGCTTCTGTGAGGATTGACAACCTTGGAGACCGTATGGGGTAGTTCTACTCTGTTCTCTAGGGGCTCTGTGAGTCAGAATTGACTCCAAAGCAGTGGGTGTGGTTTGAGCTTTGCTTCTGTGAAGATTGACAGCCTTGAAGGCCCTGTGGGGCAGTTCCACTCTGTCCTCTAGGGGCGCTGTGGGTCAGAATCGACTCCATGGCAGTGGGTGTGATTTGGGCTTTGCTTCTGTAAAGATTGACAGCCTAGGAAACCCTGTGGGGCAGTTCCACTATGTCCGCTAGGGGCGCTTGAGTCAGAATGAATATGATTGGCAGTGAGTTTGTTTTCAAAGATGGCTGAAGGGCTTACAGTTCATACCTTACACAAATATTTCCAGAAATTTCTTTCTGTATCAGTAGTTTCGCTGCTGGGGAAATATAGGCTTGTTTTGAATTCTCATAGATTTTACTCCACTCAGCTAAGTGTAAAAGCAGTCTGCTGTCAATTGACCAGCAACTTTAATTGCTGTGATGGATTGTACCATGCCCCCCCAAAGAGATGTATTACAAACACGAAGCCCACACCTGTGGTGACAATCCCAGTCGGTAACAGGCTCTCTGTTATGTTGCTGAGGCAGGATCAGGGCACGGGGCGTTTTGAGTCAATCTCTTTTGAGATAGTAAAGGAGCAGGTTAAGTAAGCAGAGATGGTGGAAGGCAGATGCCATACCACCAAGGAGCCAAGGAACAAATCTGCCAAGAGACAAGGACCTTCCCCAGAGCCAGTGCCTTCACCTAGATCTGGGAACCTGAATTTGGACTTCTGGCCTCCCAGACTATGAGACAATACATTCGTGTAAGTTAAGCCACCCTCCTGTGGTATTTCTGTCACAACAACACTAGAGAACTAAGATGGCCGCCCTCCCGACTTTTCACCTTCAAGATGTCATACCTGCTTCCGCACACAGTTGCTATGGCTTTGAAGCAGCCTGACGCCAGCTGGTAGGATCCTGTGTAGCATCGGTCAATGGCCCAATTAAAAAGATTTATTTGGTCAGGATTAAGTTCCAATAACAAGACGACAACCTCACAGCCAAGCTGATGAACCTGAACACATGGAGAAAATCAATTATTAATATTTAATGGAAGAATATTCTGGGGCAAGATATAGAATCAAGTTAAAACAACAACAAAATCGCTGCTGTGAAGTTGATTTCAACTCACAGCGATCCCATATGACAGAGTGGAACTGTCCCACAGGGTTTCCTAGGCTGTCATCTTTAAGGGAGCAGACTGTCAGGACTTTTCTCCTGAGATGAGTGGGTTCTAGCTGGTGGGTCCGAACTGGCAGTTTTGGGGTTAGAAGCTGAGTGCTTCACAAGGGCTACCAGGGCACCTTAAAGTCATGCTTAAGCCGTATAACTGGGTCAAAGAAAGTGGAGATGGAACATTCACGTTGATGAAATTTTATGCTGCATGTTCCTCATTAAATCCACTGCCGTGGTCGATCCCAATGCACAGCGCCCCTAGAAGACAGAGTGGAACTGCCCCACAGGGTTTCCTAGGCTGTCAGTCTTTACAGAGGCAGACTGCTAGGTTTTTCTCCTGCAGAGCAGCTGGTGGGTGTGAATCACTAATCTTTTGGCTATTACCAAAGTACTTTAACCACTACACACCAGAGCTCCTTATATTCTTCATTAAGAGGGTACAATGTTGCAAGTAAAATTTGACTTTACTTAAATCTCTTCTACAGGGTCTGCTCCTTGATTTTTAACTCAAAAGTCTAGTGGTGACATTATGGGCAATGTGATTTTTGCACTCAAAATGCTTCTGAACATACAGCTACTTGGTTTTTAAAAAATCAAATATACAAACTTGTACATCAGTGTTCGTGGAAGCACTTTTCACAATGCCAAAGACAGATGAATGGATAAATGTGTATATACATACAACAAAGAGCCCTGGTGGTGTACTGGTTAAGGGCTAGGCTGCTAAATGAAAAGTCAACAGTTCAAACTCACCAGTTGCTGCTAGGAAAAAAGGTGGCAGGTAGTTGGCTTCTATGAAACAGACAGCCTTGGAGACCCTGTGGTGCAGTTCTACTCTGTCCTCTAGGGGCGCTGTGAGTCAGAATCGACTCCATGGCGGTGGGTGTGGTTTGGGCTTTGCTTCTGTGAAGACTGACAGCCTTGGAGACCCTGTGGGCAGTTCCACTCTGTCCTCTAGGGGCTCTGTGGGTCAGAATGGACTCCACGGCAGTGGGTGTGGTTTGGGCTTTGTTTCTGTGAAGATTGACAGCCTTGGAGACCCTGTGGGGCAGT